AATATCAGGCATTTTACCTCAGGGAACAAAGGCACATCATGGAGCAGACAAAGAGCAGGGATGACAACGTAACAAAGAGTAGGCAATGAAATCGGAGCCCAGAGAAGGTATATGCAATACCCCATTTGGGCACCAAATTCGATTTTGCGGTGTCCATATATGAAGGGGCAGTACTTGGATGCAAAAATTTGGAACATGCCCTCACACCATCTCTTGAACTGAACAAGAGCTATGTCTAAAGTTGTTGGGCCAAGCCCTTGAAAGGCATTCTTGTTCCGTGGGTTGTAATACACGGGCTTCCATCCCCTGCACTGGATTGTGAGGCCCGTGACAATATCCTCCACAGAACCTCCATAAATCAATCCCATCTGCATGTTTCACCACAATTGCTGTTATTTAAAAAAAAAAAATTGTGTAAAACTGCAAAGACATATTGCTTTCAGAGATGCGGTAGAGTAGAAAAGTGTCTGAAAATCTTTTTTTTTTTCTTCTTTTTTTTTTCTATTTCTTTGTTTTTCTGATCTTTCTTCACTCGAACATTCTTAGTAGTGATTGAGACGAACCTCTTTGCCCCATAGGGTACCCTTCTCATAGCTACAGTCTGCCAAAAGCTTCGACGCTACCTCCAATTCTTCAACCGTTTTACCTTTTGTGTTATCTTCAACATTTTGCCACTCAAGCCCACGATTCTCAAAGTACTTTCCCGACAAGCTTTCCCTTCGGTGGAAGCATCCGGTGCCAATGTAGAGGGCCCCACCAAAACCATCAATGCCAGCAAGCTCAATCTTCACAAGAAAGGCAAAAACAGCTCAATGCTACATTTTTTTTTTCATGCAACTAGTATTTAACTGATACAAAAAGAACCACAAAGCTAAAACTTACTTGAAAAGTTGCACATGATGAATTTGCATAGATGTCGTTCTTGGTGATGTTACTAAACCTCTGTGGGTACTGCACGTATGAAATCTGTTTTCCATTCTTTTCATCTAAAAAGAAGCATAATGCGTCTTTTACAGTGTCCGGGTCATTCGAGTACATGTCACAGTCGAGGTTGAGAATGATTGGGGCATTGCTGATTTTAGCCGACACCCTTATCTGCAAAAACATAAACGGCAGTCACATTTAATGTTTAAACACAATTGGAATAAGCTTGATATATAAAATAAATAAATAGATAGAATAAGCTTAAGTTTTTAAAAGAACCTCATAGGCAGAACACCAAAGAATAACTTGATGGGTTAATTACAAGAACTTCCCCTGAAGTTTAGAGGATGATTGGATATAAAAAATTTTGGTTTTGTTTGGATTTTTTTGTTTGGTTTGGTTAATTTTGAAAAAGTTGGTATGGTTAGTTGTTAGTGGGTATATTAAATAATATTTAAAATAAAATGATTAAAGTTGATTTGATGTAAAGTAGGTGAGAGAAAATTTGAAGTGATGGTTAGTTAAAATTATGTGAGTGGATGAATAGTGAATTAAGGTAAAGTGGTGTGTAAGAATGATTGATTGATATTATTTAATTATATTGATAATATTAATGATAGTGGGGTTGAGTTAAAGTTGAGTTAAAAAAAGTGATTGAGTTAAAAATGTTTGGATTTTTTTGAAAATTTTTGTATCCAAACATGCTCTTAGCAAACTCACATAAAACTTGCAATAACAACTTCTTCTCTTCAAAAATCAGTATGGATCTCTAGTGGATTAATTCAAGAGCTCAATGGAAGATTGTTAAAAAAAAATTACTATTATTTTTATTTATTTTTTATTTTTTTTTTGCGAATAACAAAAGCTCCGAGGTAGTTTCGTAATTAATAGTATCTCGATTACCAGTGCATTCATTGATCCAGCCTTGAAGTTATGTGCCCAACCTGGCCTCTTTTCTCTGGACAAGTACACCAGCATCGGTAATTTGTTCCCCTCAATATCGACTGCTCGGGAGTTCCATCTATCTATCAAAATCTGAAAAAAAACATTAACAGCACAAATTGAGAAATTCACCCCATAATTATATTCAACACAATCCAAGTAAAACTTATCAGTCTGTAAAAGCATCACGAAATATGAATGACCTGAACTATCGACTGGTGATCCTGCTTCGTCATTCCGGAATTCCACTCTGAGAATCCTTTATGGTCATCCTTAATTTCTTCCGGGATAAAACCTTTAATCCTAACCGTATCTATTCGTCTTTTCATATCATCATACATATTCTACAAACAAATAACAAAACTACCCTTCAGCAAACAAGATTTCAGAAATTGCTAAATCAGTAAGTACCCTCAATCATTTACATTCACCTTCATATGGTACCATTCTTGCGCGAAATCCAATTCGTGTAAATTATTATTCAGGGAAAAATAGATTTCAGGCGCCCTTGGCTCGACAT